GCTACCGGTAAGGACAAGTTTTTCTGCAATTTTGATATTATCAATAGATTTGAATAATTTTGTTATCTTAGGTGTAATTTCCTTAACATATGGTAACGTGACATATCTGATGTTAATTTGTTGGGAAACATCGTTGGGTGGCACAACCCCAGCATCGACACTTATTACATTTTGACTCTCGTTGGTGTAACATAGAAAATAACACCAACGAGAGTCAAAATGTAATAAGTGTCGATGCTGGGGTTGTGCCACCCAACGATGTTTCCCAACAAATTAACATCAGATATGTCACGTTACCATATATTAAGGAAATTACACCTAAGATAACAAAATTATTCAAATCTATTGATAATATCAAAATTGCAGAAAAACTTGTCCTTACCGGTAGCTCTGTGTTTTCAAAATTGAAAGATAAAGTACCCATAACTTCGTTGAGTGATGTGGTCTACTGTATCCCTTGTGGTACATGCCAAAAATCATATATTGGCCAAACTTCTAGATGTTTAAAAGACCGTATAACATCCCACAGGAGCGACAGTAGACTACACCCTGAACGTTGTGCTTTGGCTGAACATGTCCATAAAAATGACCATATTATGGACTATGAAAATGTAACAATATTAGAAAGAGAAACCAACATCTCAAAAAGACAATTTTTAGAAATGTCACACATTTATCAACATGACAATAGCATTAATAAAAGATCAGATATTAAACATTTAAGTGAAATCTTCTCCTATCTTTTATATTTGGATAAACATAGAGATGTCGGTATGGACAACACAAGTTTGTCTGAGTTGTAGTTTTCATAAACTTAGTTTCTCATATTGCATTAAATCCAAATGTTACTAGCTCTGTGGGTGATGTCAGAATAGGTGAGGGAGGGTCTTCAATTATTGAATTGTTGAGCCTCACTCACTTGGTGACATCAGACATAGACTAGTATCATAGAATTACAAATCAAAATTTCACCCGTATAATTGGTTGTATATCCTTTAATTTTTCAATTTTCAGCTTACTGTTTCATGTATAATTTTACAAAAATAATTTTTTCCTAACATTATTCATGGTGTAATAATTATTATATTGACTATTTAACACTAAATTTCAAATTTTGCTATTAAAACCACATGCACTGATTATGCTCGTGATATTGTCAATTCAGTGATCAGTATGATCCATGGTAGGGGATAGCAACCCTAACAAGGGTATCGTACTGTTTACTCAGAGGGCAACGTCGCCTGCTAAGTCAGTGACATTTTTAAAACAAATCATAATTTCCTCCGTATAATTATTAGTCTTATAATAATTAAAACATAAATATAATGAAATTTTTAATTTATATTCTCATAGGTTAGTCATCAGTCATGCTTTTCATGGGCTGAATTGTTGTACCCTTTGTGCTAAGGTGACATAGGCCACTTGCGTTCTTCTTTTCCGCCGATGACATGTTTGACAGTTGACTGACACATGACATTTTACTTCATTTTTCGCGGGGTTCACAACCATGTGACACCCACGCCGTTAGCCATGTTGCTTTTTGTTTTACATATTTTATAAAACATCGATGTGTTTTTTCTTCAATTAATACAAATAATGTATCAAGTGTTTGTCCGTTTAAAATAGTTCCCGTCTTTGTAAAACTGTGATGTCCAATAATTTTAATTTGATGACCTTTTACACACCATCCTCAATGAGTTGTAAGTTTAACTTTCTTAATCAATTAACTTGTCTTTTCAACAACTTTTATTAACATTTGTAGCTCCTTGATAATGAGTATAACCATACTCGAAAGCTCGGAATAAATTTAAAAGAGTACACTAGTGAAGTAATTTGCCAAATTCCCCAAAAATTTCCTAACTTATTTCCTAACTAGTCGGCAAAGACTAAGCCTTAATTGGCTGTTATAGATTATATATATATATATATATATATATATATATATATATATATATATATATATATATATATATGTACCTATATTATACATATTATCTATACATTCCACAAAAAAAGGAAAAAAAGAAACACACCCCTGGAATAAAAAAAAAAAAATAAATAGAAAATAAAAAAAAACAATTATTCATTTATATTAAAAGATTTAATTTTTTCCATATTCCAAATGCGTGCAGAAATTATTTTTGTCTCTTTCATTGTTAGATTTTCCAACATATTTAAAAAGGTTTCAAAATTATCAAAACACCTATGTTTGGGTCTCATAGTTGTGTAAATTGGACAATTAAAGAGAATGTAATATAACTTTTAATTTTTGTACATATTACGGACAGTACATATCTCACAAGAGTCAATAGCATACAAATTTATTGTACATTCTTACTTGAGCAATAGTGCGAGTGATCTGCATGGGCATATTTAAATGTAAATATGGTTTAGGATCTCTATAAGTTCCAAAAACGTTATAATGCGGAAAAGAGAACAAAGATTCATTAAGTTAACATTTGACTCAAAAAGATTATGATAAAAACGGACTAATATTGTTTTTTTTTTTGTTTGAATTTTATGCAACTTTATGCAAAGTTTCGGATACCTATTGTCGTCCATAGCTAGAATTTTGCAAAACCAATTTAACGCCATTTTCAAAATGTTATAAGAATACTGTATTTTAATTAAAAGAAAATGAAATATTTCCAAAACATAAGCAATATCTAAAGTGGGATTGAAATACACATTACATAATATAAATCTAAAACTGCGAAAACAACAAAGACACATTATCCACCAAGGAGACTTGTTAAGCACAGTGGCACTAAATACACTTTAATGTATAATGCATAACCCTTCATTTGGTCTTCCCAGTGATATTTCTTTGATGGCAGAAGAAAAAACTGCATCAAAATGTTGAAAGGTACCCGCAGTTATTGGTAGGTAATTCAGAAGTTTCAGTGAGACAAATAATAGAACAGTCCTATTCAAAATCGGTACTAAAATTATTTAAATTTTCGAGGCTATGACAATTCCTGAAAGCAGTATTTATAAATTTTCCTGTGAAAAAGTAGCAGCAGTGGGGTTAACTATAATAATCTTTTGGATCTGTTGCTGAGTCGAAAATTCTTTAGCTCCATTTCTCTTTGATCGAACGGTTACGACTTTAGGATAACCGTTAATAAATGAGATCTTTACGTTCTCTCCAGCTGATTGCCTCTGATTTAATTCTGAATATGTTGTAGATAGTTCTTGTTTTTCTTGAGGGGTGTAATCATTTTCAATTTTTAAGCTAGGAAATTTATTAATTGGAAGCTTGGATTTATTTTTTACAATAATAAGGAATCTCCCTTAGAAAATAATTCAATTTTTATAAGACGGCACTTATTTGTTTGTTTTCCTAAGCGTGATATTTTATTAATGCTGATAATAATTGGGAAAGTTTCTTTAATTATGTCAGTAACAACTTGGGTGTCATTATTACTTTCATCATTTCCGTACATTATAACGTTTTTCTCTCTTTCCAATCTCCTTCTAACTTTCAAATAGATTTTCGTCGAATTGACTACGTGCACTTCTGTTTCAACGTCATTTACCTTGTAACGAAGAACAGAAGTTTCGAATAGCAACGATTTGATGTAATCAACGCAAGAATAAATTGTATCTGTTTTGTAAAAACAACGTTCTATGCATATCTTGGAACAGCCTTGGTTAAGGTAGTAAGTGTGATGAAATTAATTGCAATTGTGAATCCATTTTACGCACGTGGTGCATAGAAATAATATAGAAGACCAATATAAATATAACATCCAAGCAAAAATTGAAACCTACTGTGCATAAAAACCTTAGATTATACAAACCTTAGATGGAACATAAGACTCTGCGCATAATCCCATTTCGAAATTATTCACACCCACCAATCAGAATTGAGAACATCACATGTCAGAGCGTTGTCCATCCGAATTTAATGTGTCAACGAGAATTAATTTGGTATTTTAGTGACTTAAATTTTGGAAATTAACGTTGAAAATGTCAAAATGTGTTGTAAAAAGCTTTATTTATAATAAAAGTGCGAAAACTGATGAAGATAAAAGATACTTACATTTATTTCGGTGATCTATTTAATTTTTAAAGATTCTGTCGACGGCCATATTTGTTGATTTGAAAATAAACAGAATCGGACTTGGTCATTGGTACATGTTATAAGTAGCAAATAAAGGTTATTATTATAAACTGTTTACTATTTCTTGTTTCATGGGGAATCTTTTTTCAGGAAGTGGAAAGAGTAACATACAAACAAATACAAAAATATCAATTTCATTGCCAATTTATTCGTTTCAAACTTCACAACTGGTTTCAATAGTTTTTCAAAACTATTTATTTAGTATGTCTCTATAACAGTATTACTCAAAGTGTGCTCCACGGAGCCCTGGGGCTCCGCAAAGCCTTTGTGAGGGTTCCGCGAAGAAAATAATCATAATAAAAAAAAACTGTACTATCGCCAACAAAATGGAGGGACCTAGCTTGAGGACCTTTTTTTGAGAAGTAGTTTTTATAAGTCACTAAGAGGAAGGAGTATATCGAGGGTATGGAGCCAAAACCCGATAAGTCGATAAAATCTCAAAACGACCTTTAATGGTCATTATTCATAACTTTTCGTGCTCTTTTTAATGGTAAACATATTTACCAGGTTTTCCTTTTAAATTAATAGTATTCAACAACTTTAAAACCTGATAACTTATAGTTATGTTGTTTTTTATTTTTTATGAAACAGGTATGTGCATAAAATACTAAGTTTTTGATATTATGTAAAGACTACAATCTGTTAAAATGCTGTATTGGGTTTTGTTTTGGAACTTTTATTATATTTTGTAGAATTATTGCGAGTTAAAAGCAGATAAATGTGTTTAAGTGGTTTTGATATGAATAACTAATTCAATATTAATAACAATTGCAATAGTAAATAAACATTAAAATTACTTAAAGGGTTTTCGCCCGAAAATATACTTACTTTAGCTAATATACATCTCAAGCGAAAACCCGGTAACTTAGATTAATGGGTTTTGCGAGGTCCGTACTGTTAGTAGCGTATGTAATATGCATGCATAAGAACCAAATAAGTGTTTGAGTTTGTTACTGGTAAAATCACGCAGTGTACAAACGTTATTTTCGCTGTGTGTTAAGTGTGTTTAATATCTGATAGTTAACATTAACTTTACAATGACTGAAAGAGCAAAAAAAATAATGTGTTTAGCCCTAGAAGCCGGAAATATTGCAGGTAAATAAGTTTTCTGTTCATAACCTCAAATTAAATTTGTGTACAGCATCGTTTCGTTGAATAATAATATTATCATTACTGTTTTAGATGTAGTACAAATGAGAGGTAATGAGAACAACGCTTCCATTAGACATGAAGCAAAATTAGGTAAGAATTATTATCAGCCATAGTACAAAATTAATTTTTTTATATACTTTTTGTTACATGCCAAATCCCGGTAAGTACAGTTATTGTGTTCTACCTAGAATATTATGTTGAAATAGATAAGAAAATACCCACGGATACTTGGATTGCATAAGAACTTACTGGGTTTTGGCTGTCTACCTTTTATAAATATAGACTTTTATGGGTTTTTATAATAAATTCATGAGATTAGGAGTATTATTGTAGAATGGAAACTTTGGAACTAAGAATAAATCAAAAACTTCGCAAACGGATACTTTTACTCCTCGATACTTGTTTCGCTAAGTTCGCATCTTCAGAAAAAAATTAAAACTTTAAAGTGTCGAGGTGTTAAATCAGTTTTTTTCAAGTGGCAAAACTATGTTTTTGGTTTATTAAGACCATTAATTAATTGAATGCCTGTAATTTGCAACATTATAATCATTAAGTAATAAGATATTTTATTAGTGTTTGGGCATAGAATAAATATTATTACGTTTTAATTGTATTTCCGTCACTCTTTAGATTTTTGTGGCAATTGCTTAAGGATTGTACGCAAATATATTCCCTAGTAACCCCTTAATATTTGCAAACTTTCGGATTTTTGTTCAGAATATAATAAGGGCGAAAAATTTAAATACTAAATGTTGATAGAATTTTATCCTTATTTTAGAATATTTATAGTTACAAATTTGAGTTTTTTAAATAATCAGCAGTTTTACATAATATTTTTTTTTCTCTCAACTAGAACAAGAACTTTTTAGTCAAGATGATAACTCCAATGCTTCGTCTGAACTGAATGAAAATCAAATCAAAATTGCCAATGACATGGAAAAAATTATGGGCAACAAATTTGATCTAGAAGATTTGGATATTCAGGACAGTAAGTAACTTTCATTTTCTCCGAAACGTTTTAATAGTAATGCCTTATAATATAATTATTTTTTCCACAGGCAGTAATATGTGGAAAGACACAACTGAGCCAGAGAGCGACTTGGAGAAACATAGTGATTTATTCGGAAGTGATTACTCTGATGAGGATCCCACTTATGTTCCTCCGACAATGAAAAATCCTACTGCTGAAATTGACAATGAAGTTAACATTGAACTTCCCCTCGATTTTGATGATCCTGAAGATAACGATCACGAAAACGTGAATCTTGTGAATATTGAGAATCTTTCAGACACTGATGGTGTCAATACTAATTTTGACAATGCAGTAGAAACAGTAATGATATTGCTTGACGAAGTGTTAGATGCAGTATGGCATAGGGTACGGAAAAAGAACAGATGGAGTAAATCGACTCCTACTGAATGGAAGAAAAATATTGTTAAAAAACGTCGTTCAACAGGTTTGACTTATGTGACTAATAAAAGACTTCGACGTGAAAAAATGCCCCAAATTGTTGACTGCGGAAACTGTAAATTCAAATGTAGTGAACAATTTTCAATTGCTGAACGAAGCAATCTTTGCAGAGTATATTGGAGTATGGATTTCAAATCTAAAAAAATTTTTATTTTATCTAACATCACGATAGAGCCAGTAAAAACTCGACGTGTGGTAAAATCTTCCCAGAAAAGAGATAGATCATTCACTAAGAAATGCTTTTTTAAGAAAAATAATGAACGAATTCAAGTCTGCCAAAAGTTTTTTACGAAAACCCTTTGCATTTGCCCCGATGTTGTAGCAGATGCTATAGACAAGGTTGATTCGGTTGGATGTTATGGATCTGAAGATCTACGTGGCAAGCATGAACCAGCCAACAAAGTCAAACAAGAAGTTTTAATACATGTTAAAAAGCATATTGAATCGTTCCCCGTAATGGAATCACATTATACCCGAAAGGACACTTCCAGACAATACCTTGATCCTAATCTGAATATAAGAAAAATGTACCTATTGTATATTGAGCAGTGTAAAGAAAACCAGTTAATTCCGGTTTCTGAAATGAAATATCGCTCTGTATTTGGCCAAGAATATAATTTTAGCTTTTTTAAGCCAAAAAAAGACCAGTGTCTAATTTGCACCACCTATGCTAAAGCAGACTCTGAAAAGAAAGAGGAAATGGAAACCCAGTATCAAGACCATATTAGACGAAACAGAATGAGCCAGAAGTCAAAACAAGAAGACAAGGATAAGGCAAACAGAGATCCAACTTTTAATTCAGTGTCATTTGATCTTCAGGCCGTTCTGCAAATTCCTAGCGGACAAGTAAGCCAACTGTACTACACGAGAAAATTGGTTGTGTACAATCTTACTATATATGAATCCGCATTACCGAATAACGCATATTTTATGTCCTGGAATGAAATTAATGGGAAAAAAGGGAGCTGTGAAATAGGCACCTGTCTTTATTATTATTTAAAAAATCATGTTCCCTCCCATGTGAACCATATCACATTGTTCTCAGACACTTGTGGGGGACAAAACAGAAATCAGTTCATAGCATCCTTGTTGCTTTGGGCTGTTCAAAATATAGACCATTTGAATGTAATTGAACAAAAATTCTTGGAGAGTGGTCATTCATACATGGAGGCAGACTCCATGCATTCAAGTAGAGAACATGCAAGTAAGAACATGTCCATAAGTTCAATGAATGACTGGCTAAATGTTTTTAAAATTGCTAGAAGAAAAAGACTTTTGAAAGAGAAAGGTACGGAAAGAAAGCACACCATAGAACCATACAAAGTAAAAGAATTTAAATATAGCGATATGTTGAACTTGAAGGCACTTGCCACAGAAGTTACCATCAATAAGACAAAAGGTAATAATAACGAAGCAGTGAAGTGGATGAAAATTAAAAGAATTAAGTACGTAAAAGGAGAAACAGCCAAAATTTTTTTTAATTACGATCTATCGGAAGATTTTAAATTCATGAAAACCTCTGATATTGTAAACAATAATAATTCACCTGCACCGGTTACAAGGTTGAAGAAGAAAAAGATGACAAATGCTGGAAATCTAAAAGATGAATCTCCAATAGACAGACCGATTCCAATTTCTCTGGAAAAATTGTACAAGAGTCCCCTACCGATCAGCGTATTAAAAAAAAAAGATTTGCTCAAATTATGTAAAAAAGGCATCATTCCAGAAGAACTTCATGCCTGGATTAACAGCCTCTCCACAGCTTCCAGCGTGATTGATCGCATACCCGACGTCGCTATTGATGAGTCTGAAGAGGAAGAAGTTTAGTAGATAAGAGTTTCTTATAATTTTTTTTAACTTTTCATATTTGTTTTTTTTTTTACTTATAATAAAGAAAACCGTTTTTATTTTTTATACTTCTTGTTTTTGATAATTGTCGACATTAACAATTTTATGTTTGAAAAATGTAAATGTACGCCAACTTATAAATTATAGTGATGGATATTATGGACCCAAATTACGTAATTTGAGTGTTAAAATGACGTAATTAGGATGTAATAATGAACTTATTCCGAATGAAAAGTAGAAAAATAATAACATAAGTTACCAAAGTCATTATTTTTATAACATGCCAAAACCCAATAAGTGAGGACCTACTTAACTAAATCACCTTTTAAAGCAAACCTATAATCAATTTTAAATGTTATACATATGGTGAGTAATCCTAAATAAGTTGTCTACAAAAGTACTCCTGATTTATTGCAATTGCATTAAAAATTGGTTATAAATATAACATCATAACTTGTCAAAATCTTTAAAGATGAATATCTCCAAAATGTGAATTTTCTACTTATCGGGTTTTGGCTGTATACCCTCGATATGATTTTGCTTTAGGACTTTTTTTTTATTTTATTTTTTATGGGTGAAATGGATTTGGGATAATTCTTGCAAAAAATCTTTTGAATTAATCAAAAATAAATTAACAACAAATGATGTTCTTGTGCATTTTCAGCCTGAGTTGCCGATTAAATTAATCGTAGGAATAAGGGCCATGATATGTCATGTTTTTAAAAAAAATATTGAGAAACCTATAGCTTCTGCTTCGCGTACCTTATCAAAGTCCGAACAAAAATATTCCCAAATTGAAAGAAAGGGCCTTGCAATAATTTTTGGCCTAAATAAATTTATTGAATATTTATTTAGACATTTTTTTATCCTAGTTACCTCTGGTAATTATTTTTAACCCAGCTAAAGGTATACCCCAATTTTCAGCCAACAGACTACGTAGATGGGCAGTAATATTACAATTATGAAATTTAATATGTGAAATCAGAGCATAATATAAAGCCGACTGAATATCACGTGTACCTATTGAAAGTCAAAATGTTTCAATTTATTTGAATAATAACTGGTTAAATTTGATTTGTAAGAATTGTTTATGAGGTTTTCATTCAAATAAATTGAGATTGGCGGGTTTCAAAAGTCAAAATGAAGAAAAATTTTAAAAATATTTTTTAAATTATGTGATTTATGTGTTTAGAGCTCCGTCAAATATTTCGCTTTTCAGAAAGGTTCCGTCGCCAAAAAAGTTTGAGAAACACTGCTCTCTAATAATATGGGATCTATCCATTTAATTTACGTTTTGTTATTTTCTCTAATTTTGACATATAAATTTTGTAATCGCGGCAAGTGTCAAATCGATCTACTTTATGCAACCAGTTGCATAAAGTAGAACATTATGCAACTACGAAAAGTTGATTATGTCACCAGTTACGAAATGAAAATAAATAAAACTGCTTGTTTTTGGTTTTTAAGTCGAAAAATCCAAAAATCCAAAAAAATAATAAATAATTGAGGGGGTGCCTGCAAAAACGAGGCAGCTCCATTTTAATAAATTTATGGGAAATTGAAAGATGAGATTTTCTTTTTTCTGCGATAAAAGCATGTAAAAATAGAAATTTTTACAAAAAATATAGGTTAAATTCTTCTTAGGTTATTGATCTTCATCTTCTGTTTCAGGTAACTGGAATTCTTGTGTTTCTGCAGGTAAAAGTTCCATGACATTATCCTTTTTTAAAGGCAATGGGGCATTATAAATCTTAATTTGTACTTCTGAAAAAATCGGTACACAAGATTTCATCAGCTACAGAAAGCTGCCCGGTTCTTGCAGCAAGGCAGCTTCAAATAACGTTGCCATTTATGTAATGTTATGTGGAGACACCTGATTGTTGCAGGGAACGATTGGCCTATTTTTTTAAAGGGTAATTCAGTAAAAATCTCATTTTTGTAAAAAAGTGGAGCTGCCCGGTTATTGCAGCCACCCCTTCAATTGAACACCGTTATTGAAAACTGCCTAGAAATGTTGCAGGTAAAATTTTGACGTACTCCTTTAAGGATAATGGGTAAAAACGTTTTTTTTTTTTCAAATTTCTTGCAAGTAATGTCAAAAATCAGATCGGCAACACTGCACATATCCCTTATTTTTATTATTACTACTGAAAAAAAAAAACGTCATAGTGCAATCAAACACAACAATTTTCTAAAATATTTACCTACAAAAGAATGATGGTGAATCATTTTTCAACACAATTTTATAAATAAGTCAAAATTAAAAAAGATCTTGCATGAAATCACGTTACGAAATGCCGTTTTGTGTAACTCGTTGATTTTGCGGGACCTCGCTATGCTCGTCCCGCAAATATTTACTCGTTACACAAAATAAGGCATTTCGTAACTGGTTACATAAATTGCTATTAATTGACTTCCTAATATTTTAAATCATTGAACAGTATTTTCCGTAAATAATTATAATTAAATAATAAATAATTATAATTAAATCATAAATAATTACCGGCATATAAGTATCAAAACAGATTAGGCTTTTGTCAAATAAACTTAAAATATAAGGAACGAAAAGGTAACCCATTTCTAATAAAATTTAATTATTTATTTTATTTTGGTGTGATCGTAGAAAAAATCTTGTATGTAATTCGAGTAAAAAGTACTTTGGCTGTTTAGATAACTTTTTGTCTCAACAGCTATTTTGTTACAATAATTTTATAAACTTTTACTTAGGGTCGATTTCACCGTTCTGTTAAACGAAGTTTAAAATATTAAACGAAGATTAGAATGACATTTTACATTAACAGTGTCATTTTAATCTTTGTATAGTAATTTAAACTTCGTTTAACACAACAGTGGAATCGGCCCTTAGCTACATATTGATAAAGTGTTATTACCCTCATCATAAATGAATCCTGCTAACAAATAAAGTCAAAAAAACGTCTCATAATTTTTCATCTTTTAGTTACCTACCAAAATTAGGTACTACAATACAAATATTTAAGTCCGGCCCAGAACCTCTCCCTACTCCTTCCACCCAGTTTTTCGGTTTTGACAAAATTCGCGCAGCGACAAATGCTTCCTATGTTACCTCTACCCTTTCTAACCTTTCTAACCTCTTTGATAAAAACGCGTCTCTGCGCCTGACATCGCAAAATAGTGTGTCTAGAAGCTTGCGCATTATGCATGACTTGTCCCTGTGGTGTTGCCAAGTATATTAAACATACCTAACACAAAAGAATTTATTTTTAAATTATATGATTTAATCAGTTTATATCTACGAAATATCGCCACAAAATACAATATAAACATTTAAATAATCAACTAATAATATTTATGTGTAATTAGGTTCCCAAAAATATATACAAATACGGTATTAATGTACAACAAGCTATTCACCTACAAATTTAATATTGACCTGGCAACACCACTTTAATCCGGTGTTTCAAGGCTATATGACGCTGCCCTTACAGAACCGTTTGTAATATTTTTGCTTGAATTTGTATTTTATTATTTAATTACCCGACATTTTATTTTTAATTTCGCGTAGTGTTAAGTTAAATCCTAGGTACAATAAAAGACATTTTTACATTGGCTAATGAAAATGTAATCAATGTATTTAGCAGCTGTTACATTTATTACAAGATTTATGTCTGGAAATCTAAATCTACCCAAGAATTATAATTATGTAAATAGAGAGCTGTATTTTTATATACAGGATGTTCAGCGACGGGGAAACAATATCGGTATCTGACAATGACAATGAACGATTTTTTGTTAAAAATTGTTAAAAATAGTAAACAGGCTATGATCTTTCCATCTAAAATATTTTGACAGTTGTTATTTCCTTTTTATTTTAAATGAGATGCCACTTCCATTATTCCTGATAGCGATGGAACATGAAATGTTGCTTATTTGGAATATATACCTTTACACAACGCTCATGACGTCAGAGACACTTTCAGTCGGGTATAATTTAAAATAAAGAATTTTAAAATGAACCGTATTAAATTGTACCTGTACCTAACATTTATGGCATCACTGGCCGAGTTGGCATCGGGTATATTTTCAAATGTAGAAACTGAAAATTAACCCTATTAAATTGTATACTTTTAAATGCGGGTTTCAAGGAATTTTAAAATATTAACCCGATCTCAACGAACTTAGAAACTTCTGTCACTCAATATTTTAATCGTTACATCCTCTTCGCTTTTTGGCCGGCACAACAATTATTTACATTTCTTCATTCCTTACCGCGTGCGAACCAGTACGGTTTAAAGAAATTTTAAAAAACCTACTTTAAAAATGAAGATGTTAATGATTTTCTCATGGATCCCATCTTCAGATCTTGACTAAATTTATTTAGAACTATTCATTTCTAACAAAAAGAGAATCATAGAAATCGGGCAAAGTGGTAAAGAATTATCGCTAAACATACATAAAAAAATATTTCAACGAATTGAGAATATCGTCCCATTTTGAAGTATGTTAAAAAAAATTGTTAATAAAGTGCAAAGTAGGGTGACAACATATATTATGAACAATATAAAATGATAGATAAAGCCAGTTTAGAAAGTATTATAAAAAAACTATGGAAATATCGAGAATCTCGATTTTGAATCGGAAGAAGAGTATTCTATGCAATTTAGAATGAAAACTGATCAAAATGAAACAAATGAACGACATGATAATGTTATTGACGACTTTCTTCAAACATTTTCTAGTTTTCCGAAAACTAACTGGATGGTTCGAAAATCATTTCCGCCTTTAAAGCGCCTCTTGTTCCGAAAAAGATACACGCCTGTCAACATTCATCGTTCAATAAAAAAAGTATTAGATACAAAACGCTTCGTATTGTAAGGCCAAAATATATTTATAAATCAAAAGAGTCATATAAACAAAAAAATCATTATAAGTGAGATAACTACCAAATTAATGATTTACAAGTTTATTCTTATTATCTATAAAATAGGTTTGCAATGTCC